AGAAATAATGTCTCTTCTGTATTAGAAAAATAAATAATAAATAACTAAAAGAAATACCTCGAAATGAACACAAATAGCTATCAAACTTACAAAATCTTTAGTTTTCTTCCCCACCCTTCTTGTTTGTCCATCTATATTTTGCTGTAGGGCTGATCATTCCCTGCAGTTTTTGAAAACCAGGACATTTTCATCACTTTATAAAAACAGCCAGAACAGGACGTGAAAACAGGACATGTCCTGGGAAAACAGGACTGTTGGTCACCCTAGGAAGGAATAATACAAAGCTCATGTAAACCATGTATAGATGTGTGTGGGTGTGTGTGTACTTAAGTAGTCTACAAAATGGTAGTTTTACATAAGACACACATTGCTAACTTACTAGCTAGTATCTGAGAATTTTTTTTTTCTCAAAATGAATATACACCAACTAAATCTATGTAAGATATAAACCCTCATATTTGAGAAGAGCTGCTTGTGGCACATTTTCACAACAAGGATGAGCGAAGCAGGAAAACATTACATCTGCGTCCTGTCCATTGTGCCAAACTTCCTGTGCTTGACCTTATTGGGTGATGTAGAGGATAATAAAACAGCTAGGAAGGATAAAGAATATTGGAAATAAATACAGTTTTCATGAATGTGTATCCATGGAACAAACTGATACAAAGACAAGAGCCTAAAGCAAACACAGTATGTGGTGTTGTTTGGTTTGATTCAACAGTAGTTTGAAAACATATTATTGACAGTTATATCCTCTTGTTTACTTAGATTAACCACTGCCAATATTTTCCAGAGGATTTTCGTCATATAATTTAGCATAACATAGCCTGTCAAATGACATTAAATATCCAACCCCACATTTTTTTCTCAAACAATTTCCTCCTAAGCACAAGTACTAATTATTAAACAGTATGCACTCATGTTTAAAAAGAGGAATCAAAATTTGTGGATTTTGTGGCCATTTTAAACAATCTACAGACTTAAAACCCATCTTTTCTCTGTGGCCTTTGACACCTAGCAAGATGTCGATTGTATTTACTTGTTTTTTCTGATTTTGATGGACTTTATTGCGTGGCTATTATTTGTATTCATGTTTATGTGTAAGTTTATGGCGTTTAATTTTACTTTTGTAGTATGTAATTGTGTGCCTTGTGTGATTATTTTTTCTGTACAGTCCTTTGGTCAACTTTGGTTGTTTAAAAGTGCTTCACAAATAAAGTTGGATTGGATCGGAATCTTATCAGTGCTTAAAAAACACACTTTATGTAAGGTTTTGACATATTTATTCTACCATTCTTTCACTTTGCAACCAAACCGCAAAAAAAAAAAAAAAAATCCTGTACAGTGTGTGGCTGAACTTGAAGAAAACCAGAAAAACCAGAGACTCCACAGGCATCCTGGAAATTCTGTATGAATGTGCTTAAACTGAACAAAGAGAACTAAATATAGAAAAACTCACTAGCAAACAAGTCAATGAATGAAGATTAAAAATAACATTTAAAAAAGGAAGAAAAATAAGCTCATATCAGGAGCTGTGCTGTTTAAACGCTGGTACTGTGGTGGTCGGCAAAACCTGGTTTTGAAAGATGAACGTTTGAATGTGCTGGAAAACCCAGAGAAAGATGAGCAGGATGCTGACATACTGAATCCAGGCAAACTTAATCATTTCCCAAAAGCCTGGTCGATAGGTAGAAAAAACAGTCAAGGAAATTAAACTTGAGTGTATCAATTGAAGCATAAAGGGCAAGTCTAGGAATGCACAGACGTCAGGAAGTGACTTTATGTGTCCAATGTGTGCTCGTGTCACGAGAGACAGGGTTGTAGCCGTAAACTAAAAAGCAAAATGGGATCATTTCCTATCATGTGTTTAAAATCAAAATAATGTTATCTGAAAGAAACTTCAAACATAGTTTATTTTATTTTTTGGTATTAGCATTTTGTTGTAGACCAGATGGTTGGTGTTAGTAACCAAGCATGAAACAATATAAATATGTATTAGTATCCAATATCCTGTTTGGACTTTGAGTTTCCTGTTTCTTGTATTCTTTGTTTCCTTGTCTTTTGTCTTCCTAACCACATCTCCGCCTGCCTTCGTTGCACTCCTACACTTGTATATATCCTTGAATAGAGTATGTTTTACAACAAAGGGTTAATTCACCGACAAATAATTATCTTCTATATAGGAATACGGAAAAACAGTCACAACACAACCCTGAAATTAACCCAAAATTCTTCACAACAACTTCATTTGTAATCCACAAAAGAAAGATATTAGGACAGGATTTTTAAGTTTATGGGTAATCTACCCAAATGTTGTTTGGATAGATTACATACTCTATTTGAGGATATGTATTGCATATTTTTATTGTTTCATGCTTGGTTACTACGACAAAATGGTTTATATTTCATACACAAATCATTAATTGTACCTAATTAACGTATAATGACAGTTGTACTAAAAAGTGTTAAACCGCTATAACAAAGACATATACACACACACACACACACATGCGTCACTTTGGGCCAGCATTGCATCATCAACTAAAGTTGATAATTTTCACTTCTTTTTAAGTCTTATCAGTTTAAACATTCAAGCTGAGAGAGTTTATGGCAATGGGAAGGAGAATATTCAGAATCTCATTCCTGTCATATTATATATTATATACAAACACACACTGAGCATATAAAGGATATGCAATAGTCTCTACTGGATAGTTGATCTGAGCACTGATCTGGAATGGAGCGTTCGCAGCTCGACCCACGGTCCACACGGGAATGGCGCCGGAGAGATGAGTTGTCACTGTGTGTGTGAGAAAAAGATTTCAGCTAAAACGAAAGCCGCATGGCACCACAGGAATGCCTACATTACCAACATATACATATGCATGCTTATGATGAGTTGATGTTTTAAATTATTTATTAATTAAAATGAATTATTTTGACAGAAAGAGTTGACAAATAAGTTTTCAAGAACATATATATAAGCTTCATGATCATTTCTGTATTTATTACCCAATTATATCAAATTAGGTGATAAACACGGAAATGATCATGTAATTCAAAACATTCTGGAGTAAATATTAAAAGTTGGCGGTGAGAAATATAGTGACTACAAATCTGTGATTTTTGAAAGCAATGATGTGAAAATAAGGAAGAGAGAGGTTTAACACATACTCACAACAATAATAATGAAATGATTATTATGAATAATAATGAATATGTTTTGCTTTTCTCAGCAAAAGTTCATAACCTTACAGTTTCTCTGCTGATGGAGTGTAATGATGTTGGCCAGGTCATAAGTACTCGCAAACGGACTGGATCCATCAATCACTGATACCTGGAGGCGCAATTCAAAATAAACCTTATGCTTGTTCAAATAAATCATATTCTGACAACATAGGCTTGCTTCTATGGAAGCCATCATTCTGTTGATTAGAATTTAGGACTATAAATCAATGCATTTATTTCCATTCCTCATGTTTTAATTTATGATCTTCCTGATGACAGACATATCACAAAATAGTGGCATTGCAAGTCAAACTGGTTCAGTATCAAAGCATCAGTTCCAGCAGTGGGTGATTCAACACATTCATTTGTATGTCAGAATAGGTCATGCGTCAATGAACTGTTGTTCAGATATACTCACATTGTAGGTACTATGTAAGCCTCGGTGAGGAAGAGGAGTTCGCTGGTTTAGCTTCAGGTCTCCACAGATGGAGAGCTGAGAACCTGGGACAGAGGAGGAGTGCTGCACGAAGGCAAGCGTCTGCATCACAACAGTAGACATTCGCTAGACAGATGGACAGACAAATGAATCAGATACAGACAGACAGAGATATATCTTATAGAGAGCCATTTTGTTTGTGGTGGTGTTATATGAATGCACTGAATACACACAAACAGCTGGTATGAGAAGGTAAGGAGGAGTTGAATGCTCAACATCTGCTCTTCTGGCTTGAGTGGCATGCTGATTTGAAGCCTGAGAAGGTCCGCTTTCCCATCCTGGTTCCTGTCCTCCTCTTGGGCCTGAATAATGAACAAACCCAGTACAGCTTTGCTTCCAGAGTTCACTATTGCAATAGCTATGGTAGCTAAATCAATTAGGGCCCGAGCACAGATGGTGTGATTGGAATTGCTGTTTATTATTTGACTTTAAAGTTTCGTACTCACAGAGATATATGGGATTCGTAAATTATCTCCGATCAGTCGATTAAAATTGGGAAATGTGCTCCATGCCACATAATTCCCTGCTGTGTCTGTTGCTCCCATCAGGATCATGTCATACTGGAACTGTATGACCGGCTGCTCTTCATATGTGCTCCTCTTCATCCAGAACCCTGTTCATAACAACAAACTAAGTCACTTCATTTGATCCCATATTTTTTTAGAAATAATTAGCTTGGAATAAAATTCAGCTTACCTTGACTTCTATAAGCCACCAGAAGAGGTGAAATATAAGTGAGGCATAAAACCACACAGACAAACAGCGTTGCTCTGGTGCAAACACATGTTCTGTATCTTATTAAAGCAGGATGAGCGTAAACGTCATAAAAGGCCATTGTTGTTAATATTGCGGTTAATTATGAAGTTCCATCCAACAATTCACAACACCTTTTAAACACATGTATATCATTTGAGCTGTGCATGCGCTGTCAAATATATGTACTAACAACGACCAACAAAAGCATTTTGGCTTAATAGTATTACACTATGAAAACAAAAATTTAGAACAGATTAATCAATCCAGCAAACAAAGAACACGCGCACTGGTGGTTCCGGTGGCAAGGCGTCGTCTGTTCACCATAGCAACGGAAGTGCGCGAACGATGTGCATAGTGATTATTCCATCATTATTTATCAGATTTATGTTTTTTTTTTTAGAAACTATGAGTTCCATCGTGTGATTTCTACAATCGTAGAGGTGTTCTTACTGTAGACATAAGCGAATTCGTGTATGAAACCCCCGAATCGACTGAATGGTACGGCCCCGCTCTGACGTAATCTCCCTCCAACGGGGTGACGTCATTACGGCTCGTCTGAAGACGAACGTCTGCTGCTGTTACATTGTTGACGTTTTTAGTTTTACCATTTAATTGACTTTAAATCATCAGATATTTTTACCATCAGATCGCTCTTCGAGCTATACCTCTGCAAAAATGAAATGGATGTTTAAAGAGGACCATTCTCTGGGTAATTCATCGAAAATGCCATGTTATGATCAACAACGGCCTGCCAGATACAGATAACGTTACTTGTAATTATTGATCTGTTTGTCAAACCGTTTTTTTTATTCTGTCAACCTGCTAATTTGATCTAATTTAACAGCATTCACCATGTAAGAACAACCACTCTGTTTATTTGCTTATGTCAGGCCTGTTGTTTTGCTCATAATTTGTTTTAATAATGAAAGTAAACCGAGATTACGCCCTAGCCTGACAGTCTGTCTCTCTCTGGTGTTGTTTTAAGTGTATTTGATAACAGTGTTCATTGGTTTTCTTTATTTAGCATGTCACTTGATAATAAACCATATATGCTATAAAAATGTACTATTTGATGAGAATATCTCAGTCACATGTCTATGCTTTGGTAGTTGTCAAACTGTGTGTGTTGTTCATTGGTTTTCTTTATTTAGCATGTCACTTGATAATAAACCATATATGCTATAAAAATGTACTATTTGATGAGAATATCTCAGTCACATGTCTATGCTTTGGTAGTTGTCAAACTGTGTGTGTAATGTATGTAAATTGTATTTATATATATATATATATATATATATATATATATACAATATATATATATATATATATATTGATAGAGTTATTAAAACGAATGCAGATGTGTGTGGTGATTAATGGGAATTCAAGTGAGTGCTGTTTATGTCACTGGCTCATGAATATTAATGATGTAAAGAGCATTGCATGCTGAGCTTGCATGTTGACTGATCGATGTCTTTTTCTTTTTCTGTCATGTAGAGCACAGGTGTGTGGAGTCAGCCAAAATCCGTAACAAGTACCCAGACAGAGTTCCTGTGAGTATAAATGTGAAAAGTTCAACTATTTAAACAAGGGTATAACCTTCTTTATTTTATCATTTATAACGATAAGTCATAGTAACAAAGCTCATCACTGATTTGACAACAAATCTAGACAACGACAGTATTTCCACACCTAATGTGAACATTCAGCGCAAACTAGATTTAGATTTTTTTGTTCTTTGTCCTGCAATGAAAGATACACATATCAGAGCATTTCAGCAGTTTTCCCAAACAGCATTAAACGCCAAATAATCTTAAATTGGAACAAGACCAAAACAATGAATGTTTTTGCAGTTTGCGAGCCTTTGACCTACAGTTTATGAGACTAGGGATCAGCAGGTATCACTTTACCTGCTGCTTGTAGTCTTTTGTATCTTACAATTGAAAGATTTCTATTATTATTATTTTTTACAATTAACAGTATTTTTTTTTATTGTACTTAATGAAGTTCCATTTTAAAAGTTGGGTTCAATAATTCATCTAGTGATGCTTGTTGTAAAGTAATTATGATTATAAAAGACACTGGACAGTCTCTCGCTCTTCTCTCACAAAGAAAACATTCTGTTTTTCTCAAAATACAGTTTTGGAAAACTATCAAGTTTGAATGAACACTGGATACTTCGGTAGTGACTTTTACTAAATTCCACCATGCAACATAATAATAATAATAAAAAATGACTGTTTGTGTTTCCTCTGTATATTTATTGCTAAATTTTGTGTTGAACTTGTTGATGGCGCCATCTATTGTGTTGGAATTTGCTTTTCGTTTCGTTTACTCTTGGTGTGTCTGTTCATTGTTTATTCCGTGTACGAATCGAGCCATACCAGTAAAACAACTTTATATTGTCATAACCTCAGGGCTTAAGATTTAAAGTATAATTGGCTGTATTTGCTCTTTCTTGTGTTTTATCAGGTTATTGTAGAGAAAGTATCTGGTTCACAGATTGTGGACATTGACAAGCGGAAGTATCTGGTCCCGTCTGACATCACAGTGGCCCAGTTCATGTGGATCATCAGAAAGCGGATCCAACTGCCTTCTGAAAAAGCCATTTTTCTTTTTGTCGACAAAACTGTCCCTCAGTCCAGGTAAAATCATGCTTTATTTATTACAGTGATTCTACTAATTACAGTCTCTAGGACACGGTTCGTCGTTTTACTGGACTTTTGTGGGTTTTTAACGACCAATCATAAGTAAACGATTGAAAATGAAAACAAATGTGTCTACTGTTAGTGATCTAAAATAATAAAAATCAATTTATAAAACGGATAGTTCCCGTCCTTGATTCTGATTGGTTGAGCCGTGTTCGAAGCCGTTGTAAATTACTCCACATACACACACCTGTGTGACAGTGTTACTGCGCAACTGCCGTTTGTGATTCTTTGTTGCTGCATGTGTTGCTTGGCAACCTCTTTGGTACTACATTGCTTGGCGGCGGAATAAATGTGTTATAACATTATATTTTTTGTTGCTAGTGCTTATTTTATTAATAAAATAAATAGTAAAATATAAATTTAATGGAGTAACGTTTTATAAAAGCAATAAGCCCCTTGAAGCCGTGTTTTACAGTGAATTTAGAACAGCTAAGGGGCATTGTTAGGCACGACGCGGAACGGAGCACCCTTCGCGGGGCTTATTCCTTTAGTGTATATTAATATAACACACCGCTAAATCATCACTGGTGCAGGCCGTTGCTTTTAAAGGTTGAATGAACAGGAAGCAGATGACACAGGAACTCGCATTTGTTTAAGACACAAATGGCATCGGTGGCTCATATGCTAAAAACGAGGTTGATAATGGCAGAACTCGCATAAACAAAAGAAAACAAAATTGTCACATTGTCGTCTCTCTAAGCAATGCCACAAGATTTCCAAACGATTGAGTATCATTTAAAATACAGTCATATCAATAATTAAGAAATGGAAAAGCACTAAAAGTGGTTGTCCTCAAAACCTTTTTTGAGTGACTTTTCAAGAATGAAACCTGAGAGAGGCCAGCAAGAGACCACTGACATCTGTGACCAGCTTGCGAGGGAACAGGTGTCCTGTACCGTACTGGTGCTTAACTAGTCAAGAGCTCAGCCACTGATGCCAAAAATCAAATGGCATCTCAGTTATAGTTTCCCAGAAAATATGTGGGAAAATTGGGGACATTTAATTTTATATTTGACAATATTATTACAACATTATTATCTCTGTAAATCTGCTTTGAAACAATCTGTATTGTAAAAAGCGTTATATAAATAAAGGTGACCTGACTTAAGTTGACTTGAGAAGCCTGAAGCCAACTTGAAGACTCTATGATTTGACGAGACCAAAATAACACATGTTTAAGCAATCAGGCTTGTTGTGACATCTCACTGCAACAGTTCCTTGAAGGCTTGAGTGTAAAATACAGAGAAAACCTGATACAAGAGTCCCTGCATATATTTGGCTCTTCTTTTTTTTTTTTTACAAGATTTGTTGTGAGTGTTTTAAAAATATTTCCACGTGATAGAATTAAATGATATGTGTGATAAAATAATGGGTTTGCTGTAACTGGCCTGACGTACTGTAACTGTGTGAAAGCCCTGTTTACATGAAGCAAACTGTGCCCACAGGAACATCTGTAGTTTATCTTAATAGTAATTGATTTAACAATTTAAGAACGGTGTGAAAACTTTTTTATAGGCACTAGTTTCCCTTTCCACCCTCTTGACACTCAAGGAAGTGAAGATGACAGTTACGCTCTTGCCAAGCAATCACACCTAAAGGAAGTTTTCCTAATCATCCTCAGGAATCCGTTTCCTTGTGAAATTTTAGCTGTGAATGTTTAATTGTGTACATCATTCTGAACAAGCAACATTCAAACTGATGAAACTGAATAGGGCTTTGATTGTTGTACAATAAAGATATATGTATCAGGTTGCGTATTAAAGGGAAGGAGGCTGAGGGAAATAAGCTCCAGTGTTCCCAGGTCACACCCAACATCCTCCACTGAAATCCTCAATAACCTCTGTTTACCTTTCACACCTGCCTTCTCAAATACACTAGCTTACGGCTCACTGTTAGTTGAGAACAAAACGTACAGAAGGAGAAGTGAGAATTTATTTAACAAGGGATTAATCTGTTCGGAGGGATTCATAGACATTGGGCCTCCTCCTTTTGTAAATTTCCTTGTGTATACCTGTGTTGAATATATTTATATGAATATACTCATCAACTGCACATACATTACATTTCTGTCACAACATGCATCAGAAAATATAAACATATTTCATTTGCCATGCTTATATTCTAAATTGAACCCTGAACATTGGAAGTCAACTTCCAACTGTGTAATGTACTTTAACTATGTGACCCTGGTCCACAAAAGCAGGTCGCACGGGTATATTTGTGGCAAAACTTAGCCAACAATATTTTGTATGGGTCAAAATTATTGATTTTTATTTTGTGACAAAAATCATTAGGATATTAAAGGGTTAGTTCACCCAAAAATGAAAATTAAGTCATTAATTACTCACCCCCATGCTGTTCCAACCCCGTAAGACCTTCGTTCATCTTCGGAACACAAATATAAGATATTTTTGATTGAATCTGAGGGCTGGATCACTCTTCCATTGGCTTCTAAGGGACTGGCTCTTGACGGCCCATAAAGTCATTAAAGAAAAGGTTTAAATATTCCATGTGGCTACAGCGGCTCAATTATAAGTTTATCAAGCGACGAGACTACTTTTTGTGCGAAAAAAACATAAAAAACGACTTTATTCCACTATTCCATTACTTCCTTATGGGCGCATGCGCGAGAACTGAGACGAGGACGTTCTCATTCGTCTACTTCTTGTTACCGGCTGCTCACCGCTTAGGAGTTTTACCGCCCCCTACCGTATAAGATGATGTGCTGATATAGCTGGAAGCGCAAAACTTTCTGTTTACAAGCAGAGGAAGATGCGCGCTGTACATACGCTTTTCAATTTGCGTATTTTCCGCACTATAAGGTGCACTTAAAAGCCTTTAATCTTCTCAAAAAACGACAGTGTTCCTTATAATCCGGAGCGCCTTATATATGGATCATCATTTTATACGGTAGGGGGCGGTAAAACTCCTAAGCGGAGCAGCCGGTAACAAGAAGTAGACGAATGAGAACGTCCTCGTCTCAGTTCTCGCGCATGCGCCCATAAGGAAGTAATGGAATAGTGGAATAAAGTCGTTATTTATGTTTTTTTCGCACAAAAAGTAGTCTCGTCGCTTGATAAACTTATAATTGAGCCGCTGTAGGCACATGGAATATTTAAACCTTTTCTTTAATGACTTTATGGGCCGTCAAGAGCCAGTCCCTTAGGCAGTCTATGTAGGACTGATCCAGCTCTCAGATTCAATCAAAAATATCTTTATTTGTGTTCCGAAGATGAACGAAGGTCTTACAGGGTTGGAACAGCATGGGGGTGAGTAATTAATGACTTAATTTTCATTTTTGGGTGAACTAACCCTTTAAGTAAAGATCATGTTCCATGAACATATTTTGTATATTTGCTACCGTATATATTTCAAAAATTGTTTTTGTGAGTGGATCCTCCAACATCGAGGACTTCATTTGGACAACTTTAACCTTCAAATGGTCTTTGTTTCCTGTTTACACTTCTGGGCTTCCGGGTCTATACGACTCCAACAATTGATTGAGTAATTGTACAAAAAATATACATTTTTAATCATACAAATAATATATCTTTTTTTTTTACTTCTCATCTATTCATTAATGCTGTGTTTTTGGAGATATAAAGTACTTTTGTATCCATATACCACACAATTCCTCAACTACACCATTAGCTCATATGGAATATTATTTTTTTATGATGCATTGCATTTATGCTCTAGTACTAGGCCTTCATTTCTGTATAAAAATTTCAGATTTATGCCAGATTTTTTTTTTTTTTTGACACATGAAGAAAATATATTTTGTTTTTGTTTTTTCACATTTCCCATTCATTTCAATGTGTGACCCTGAAGACCAGAAGTGTAAACATTTTTTTTTACATACCTTTAGAACAACCGAATCAAGCCCAGTTTTTTGTGTGTGTATAGATAGATAATGTATGAAAAGTCACAAAATCTTATTCCATTGAGATGAAGGGAACCTTTTTTTTATTAAGTAAAAGTCAATTGGGGTCGTATAGACCCCATGACCCCATTGAGGGCTACAGGCGATTTTCTCAATATTTCGATTTTTTTGCACCAGATTCAGATTCCAGATTTTCAAATAGTTTTATATTGTCCTAACATCAATGGAGATTCAGCTTTATTTTGATATATAAATCTCAATTTTAGAAAATGTGGCCCTGGGTCACATGGAATAGGACCTTAAAGTTTGAATGACAGATTTTCAGACTACCGGTATAGAGGTAACAATTCTCAAATTCAGAGTTTTGTTTTCTTAAATGTATTGCATTCATCTATTTGGAAAAATAGCATGTCAGAACACAATCTTCATTCTTGTTGCAGTCTGACTATGGGGCAGCTTTACGAGAAAGAAAAAGACGAGGACGGCTTTTTGTACGTGGCCTACAGTGGAGAGAACACATTTGGATATTAAGATCCCCGCATCACCCCCGGCTGTGCAACACATCACTCCCACTTCTGTTGGACTAGCTTGATTGTTCTGTGGTTGGGAACAGGATAGACTCATCTGTGAAATAATCACATAGCAGATGTGTTTGTATTTCTATCGTCACCTGTCATATTGTGCTCTGAATGAGATTGACTCCATTAGTGATTTTCTTCTTTTGGTGAATGGTGTTGCAGTATTATTACAGACGCTTAATCTTCACACTGAGAATATATAGCAACTTTTAATGTATTAATTTATCTGTTTTACCCCCCCTGTAAATGATATATTTAAGATAATTGAAAGGTAAGGTAGCTGGATGACCTAACCAATAAAAACCAAAACCAAAAAGATTGTCAAGATGATTTATTGAGACAAACCTGCCACTCTTAAATAGATCATTTTCAAAAATTCAATTATTTGCTGTCGTTTTAAACCTGTATGACTTTCTTCCCTGGAATTTTGGAAGGCAATGGGGTCCAAGTAACATTGGATCCAAATAACTTCAATAGCATAGACATTTATAGATATTGTATTAAAATGAAGAAAATGTCTACTTTTTGGTTTAGCCATACAGGTTTGTAATGACATGAAGCAGTTGAATAACTGATGATGACAGAAGTTTACTTTTTGTTTGAACCTTCCTTTTATTTGTAAAAATACAAACATGGACAAAATTTGAACACAGTTCTCCCGATAATGAAAACCTGTTGTTCTAAACCCATATTTGCAAATTGTACAATCTACTCTTTCTCATACTAATGCCCTTCATGACCAGGGGCTTTCAATCTACAAACAAATGCTGTGAAAGTGTAAAACGATAGCTTTAGTGTAAAAAAAAAGATTCACTTAAAATCGTCCCCTCTGTCAGAGCACATTCAAACTTAGTTGGACGCGAGACATGTGAAAGCCAATGGTGATTGGCCTCAATGAAGAGTTATGTCAGTGAATAATGATTTAAAGGGATAGTTCACTTCGAAATTCATTTTTGATATGTTTTAGCTTGCCTCAAGGGCATCCAAGATGTAGGTGTCTTTGTTTCCACAGTATTTTCCATTTTTATATTTTTAGGTCAAACCGTTCATATCTATCAGTCATATAATGGAGGTCTATGGTCACCACTTTAAAGACCATGCACAGAGAAGTCCAAATTAAACATGATTTAATGACTCGTAAATGTAAGTACACATTGATGGCCTAAGACACGAAACGAGCGGTTTGTGTGAGAAAACGAACAGTATTTATATCATTTTCACCTCTTGTAACCACAGCCACAAAGCGCCCGCGCCCTCAGATCACTTGTACGTGGCGGTCGTTACATGAGGTAAAATCTATATAAATAAATACCGCTCGTTTTCTCACACAAACCGCTCGTTTCGTGTCTTAGGCCATCAATGTGTAATTACATTCACGAGTCATTGAATCATGTTTAATCTGGACTTCTCTTTGTACGCTCTTTGAGGTGGACCCCATAGACCTCCATTATATGACTGATAGACAAGAACGGTTTGACCTAAAAATGTCAAAATTGAAAATACTGCAGAAACAAAGACACCTACATCTTGGATGCCCTTGAGGTAAGCTAAAACATACCAAAAATTTATTTCAAAGTGAGCTATCCCTTTAAATTTCAGCTCAAATGTTCCTCACACAAAGCTTCCGTATGACTTGGGATGCAGCACATCTTGGGTTTATAGTCCCTGGTCACTGCATGCTTTTGATGGAAAAAAGCAGCGAGAGTCACTTTTATTACATTTATTAATGCTGAAAGGACAAGCTTCTTTTCATGTGACTGGTTCAGGACTCTTGTATGGTTAATGTGCGGTCTGCTAATGAAAGCGCAGCAGTTCTCGTGGGCCCCGGGGCCACAGTGGGAAGGCCTGCAGGCGCAGCTGTGTCCAGGCCTGCTGGTACACTCCTGCTGCCTGCTTATAGTCCCAGTAGGTCGTCAATTCTTTCCCACTTCAGCAAGCAAAGAGAAGAAACAAACACGTCCATCAGACACAACAGATACACAAACAACACCTGCGCACCACATGACATGTCAGAGGTCAGCATTCATGCATGCCATCACATTTCTGTTTCAAACACACAATCTGAAGCTAGAAACAAACTTTACACAAGTTTAAAGGGGACATATCATGCAAAATCCACTTTTTTAGCCCTTAAATGCATTTTGTTGTATATTTTAGTGTTTATAAGCACAGAAAAGATGAAATTATTCTCTTCAAGGTGCTTCGTTTATATCTTTATATTCTTTATATTCTGTTGTCACCGTATTTGCAGCGGAACTGACAAATAAGGATATTGACTACCGGTCCAACACTTCGAGCAATCCGCCATTATTATTTCTCGCTCCGATTTTGTAGTCCAAGCTCAATGATGCAGAAGTTACGAGAAGGCAAGTCAAAATGTTCGGTTGTTGGATGTACGTTAGTGACCTGAAGCACTTCAAGGATTCAAACTTCAACAACCTCAAGAACGGTTTGCCGATCGACTTTGTCTGAATGAGGGGTCTTCCATCTCTTCTATCTTTGGAGACGACGAACAGAGCATTTCGATAAGCTGTAAATATCGTTAATAAAAATAAAGTAGTTTACTTTCTTAAAACATATGGTGGTCCTGGTTTAGCAGTACCTTTGTCTTTCTTTGTTTTTGTTTTGAAGTAACGTTACACGTCTGCAGCATTATTGTTCTTGAGTTTCATCAATGGTCATTTAGCTGCTGTGTTTTCTGATGCTTTTCTAAACTTATCATATTATCAATACAGATTTTTAGTGGTAAGATTAAACTGTAGTCATTTATCTTGTCAGTGTGCTTGTTTTAACAAGAGAAGTAGTCGACTTTCACTTTTAACACAATACAGTTACATAGCATTGCAATAGATCCATATGAAGAGGTTGTTCTGCAGGTTCGTCGTCGTCTTTTTCAAATCGCTCGCTCTGGCTCGAATATGTAAGGATTCCGTTGTTGACATTTTGTTAACGTGTGAATAAAAATGTTCTTAGAAGCTTTAGTATATAATCATACATCTCTAATCAAACTACAAAAATGGACGAACGGGGTGCAGTTGAACCGACCGTGAACTCAGCGACCTGGAGAGCGGGCGGGGTATGACACATCTCCTTTTTATTTAAAGGGGCCACTTTAAAACGAGTCGCTCACAGACGCACATCAGAAAAGGGGCCTGTGGAGCTATAATAATGAGGAACTCAGACCCAAGCATTGCAGTTATGCTTTATATGGACCACAAATGTATGATTTATATGTAAAAATGAATGATTGAAAAGCATGACATGTATCCTTTAAAATCAGACACAAATGGCTGACTCTGGTTTAAAACCTGGTTAAATGAATGAATGAATCTCGACATCATTAAACTTTTACATGAAATACAATAAAAAATGTGTCTATAAAAAAATTAATTCTTGATGCCACACAAACCTTCGCAACAATAACAAGCCTCGAGATTTCATGTATTTAAAAGGCAGTGACCAAATGTAAAGATATGGGCAGAGAAAAGGCCACTGTATGGGTTTTTGGCTATATTATAGTTACTTCATATGATAGAGTTAAGCAATATCATGACTCATGAGCGGGGGAGCTGGGTTTTTTGTTTTTTTAAATATCAGCATGATGACAGATGGGATTGATTATATTCAACATTTCAATAAACAAGATGTTCATATTGTGTTACATTTAAGACTCAATATTTACATAAAACAATATCTGTTTTTTGTCTATTTTACCAAGAAATAATACCAAACAAACCCACATAAAAAAAAAAAAAAAAAATGTCACTGCTGTTAACTAACCGCCACACTGAATATGGAAAATATGAAAAGCTTTGGGGATCAACTGTCCACAACAGGCTAAAACCTGAAAAAGCCCCAGCGCAGAAACACAAAATAGCACACAAAAATTGAGGTAGAAGCATTTGTGTTTGAGGCCTATTAATGCTGCAATGCCGCAGTAAAATCTTACTATTGGAATATAAAGAAATGCTTTGCTAATGAGACTTTAAGGTGATGGACCCACTTGCACATGGAGTGTATATATATACTGTATAATGTGTGTCCTGGGATCTTTGTGGATGGATTGTTCTTTGCTCTTGTGTGAGTCTGTCAGCACTGTAACAAGAGCTGGACGGGCAGGATCAAGAACTCTGAACAGAAGAACACTGTTCCCTGAGGTCAACACCAGACAAAAGTCTACTGTTCAATAATCATGTTGCTTTACAGGAATGAAACACACATATTTGTTGTATATTTGTATTGTACATGTAATGATATGTAATTTGACACCTGATGCAGTAGTCTAAAACCAAACGATGAATCTAATAAATTTAATTACCAAGATTTATGTCAATATGGATTTATTGAGAGGCTCTGTCTAGTTGTGTGGGAAAGGACTGAATATATATGCCTATGAGGCAACATACATATACACACATACTTAATTTCTCAGTAAGGGTTTGTGTGTTGGTTTCATTTTGTGAATGATTTTTTCCAATCTAAAATCTGTTATGTTATTATATTTTAGTAATAACTGTAGGCTAAGCATTGGGACATAAAACCACACTTTAAAGGGTTAGTTCACCCAAAAATGAAAATTAAGTCATTAATTACTCACCCCCATGCTGTTCCAACCCCGTAAGACCTTCGTTCATCTTCGGAACACAAATAAAGATATTTTTGATTGAATCTGAGAGCTGGATCAGTCCTATATAGACTACCTAAGGGACTGGCTCTTGACGGCCCATAAAGTCATTAAAGAAAAGGTTTAAATATTCCATGTGCCTACAGCGGCTCAATTATAAGTTTATCAAGCGACGAGACTACTTTTTGTGCGAAAAAAACATAAATAACGACTTTATTCCACTATTCCATTACTTCCTTATGGGCGCATGCGCGAGAACTGAGACGAGGACGTTCTCATTCGTCTACTTCTCGTCTACCGGCTGCTCACCGCTTAGGAGTTTTACCGCCCCCTACCGTATAAAATGATGATCCATATATAAGGCGCTCCGGATTATAAGGAACACTGTCGTTTTTTGAGAAGATTAAAGGCTTTTAAGTGCACCTTATAGTGCGGAAAATACGCAAATTGAAAAGCGTATGTACAGCGCGCATCTTCCTCTGCTTGTAAACAGAAAGTTTTGCACTTCCAGCTATATCAGCACATCATCTTATACGGTAGGGGGCGGTAAAACTCCTAAGCGGTGAGCAGCCGGTAACAAGAAGTAGACGAATGAGAACGTCCTCGTCTCAGTTCTCGCGCATGCGCCCATAAGGAAGTAATGGAATAGTGGAATAAAGTCGTTTTTTATGTTTTTTTCGCACAAAAAGTAGTCTCGTCGCTTGATAAACTTATAATTGAGCCGCTGTAGCCACATGGAATATTTAAACCTTTTCTTTAATGACTTTATGGGCCGTCAAGAGCCAGTCCCTTAGAAAGCCAATGGAAGAGTGATCCAGCTCTCAGATTCAATCAAAAATATCTTTATTTGTGTTCCGAAGATGAACGAATGTCTTACGGGGTTGGTACAGCATGGGGGTGAGTAATTAATAACTTAATTTTCATTTTTGGGTGAACTAACCCTTTAAGTATTATTTAAAGGGCACCTATTATGCCTCTTTTTACAAGATGCAATATTGGTCTCGGGTGTCCCCAGAATGTATTTGTGAAGTTTCAGCACAAAATACCCCACAATTAATTTATTATAACCATTTGAAAATGTCATTTTTGGGGCCTGTTTTACAAAGACCTGTTTTGGTGTGTACCACCTTAAATGTAAATGAGCTCCATATCCCCGCCTTTGTATGATAAGGGCGTCACTTGCATACCTATGGCAGTCGGTCTAAGCAGAATGGATGAGAGTCCGAGACCCGCTGTCATTCAGCCGTACATGTTTGAATCGGAATATATAAATAGTCTCTGATCAGACCCAGATGGCGAAGAGACTCCGACAGAATAAACATTGTAATAAACATTATAAACATATAAAGTTGTAATCGCGTCCCCTTTGCAATTATGGATGTGCAAAACACACACACAGACACACACAAACACTAACGTTGGCGCAATTTTTTGAAACTACATACACATACTGTGATAAATTTTGGTACTGTACGTACAAGCGAAATTACATTTATGCGAGGGACCTGTTGCGTCATGTTTACTTGTCATACAGGTGCTTCTGTGGCAAATGTGAGAAGATGTCAAGAAAATATATGCAGTTTTTAATACAATATCTTTAAAAATATATATATTTATAAACGTGTGGTTACACACTATACAAACAAGGTTTAAATTATATACACAGACATCCTACATCGATGACGACAACAACTTTAGACGCATTTGTTGTTGAATTGACTGACATTGACTGAAATACTATTTGCTCAAAAATCATAAAATACACTTACTAGAGGTGACGTTGGATCGCAAACAGTAGACGACGATCCACAGTTGAGAATTAATTTTGAAGCAAGACCTGCTTTCAATTGACCCTCGTTCACAAAACAGTCAGTCAGAAAATGATTCGCTTAAACATAAACTTACTTACAAAGGAAAGGTGCCACTTAAACTTCTAAAATACAATACATCCACTGTGTTTTCAGTGGCTCTGATGGCGGAAATAAGTGAAAACTACCATGTATGTCATTATTACCTCCCATCCCACAACAGAACACTTATGATTCTAGAAGACATTACCGTCTCGTTGAAACAATGGAGGATGGTGTACAGATCACCGAGGGTGGGGTCTATGCCACAACCACACCCCCTTGCTCAATTCTACGTCACAAAGACCTGGATCTCAGAACAGCTCGTTCTGAGACAGTGCATATGATTTATTGAGATTGTAAAAAAAACACTGGGTGGATTTTTATCATTCTAGGGTGGTTTTGCTCACACACTGCCAACACACATTTATGTTCAAACACCATGTAAAAGTGAATTTTGCATAATAGGTGCCCTTTAAGATGTAGAGTAGGGATGTAACAATATATATCGTGTCACAATATATCGTAATACAAAACTGCAACAATATCTATTGTGGATAGTTCAACCAAGATAAAAATTACTGTGTGAGAAAAAAAGGAATGTTTTCGTGTCAGTATTACATTAAAGGGGGGGGGGTTGACTGCGATTTCACTTTTTTCATTTTAAATAGTGTGTAATGTTGCTGTTAAGTTAAACAAAATGTGGCAAATTATCATTCAGAAACGTTTAGTAAGAGCCGTGTGTGGTGAGGTTCTGTTTGACTCTCTTCATCGCGGCTTACTCGGTCTGATTCTGCCTCAAATTGATACTGCAGTTCGACACATATTTACATCTGGACCGGAGCTCATGACGTGCGCGTTTCGCCCGTAAAGGTAATGGGCGTTAACTTTCCGGACAACGTAAGCGACAGTTTAGCCAATCACAACACACCGGGGCAAGCTAACCAATCTGAGCCCACGACGTGTTTCTGAGGGAGTGTTTTCATAGACTCAGGAAGTCAACCGCTCGTTCGAGGACAGAGGAGAGCGCGGCTGAGAATAAACGTGAAGTTTATGAAAAATAAGACTTTTTAAAAACGAAAAACCACGAATACATGTTACATTGCAGCCCATAAACACAATCATGCAAAGAAAAAAAAGCAGTCAACCCCCCCCCCTTTAAACTACTATAAATAATGTTGAATTTAATGTATAATAATGCAATGGGGGAATATCTGTGGGTTCTGATAATGCCAAATGTCTGATGTTACCAGTAAAAAGTGGCTACATTATTTTAAATATATCTATCTAGTCAGTGACATAGAACAATCATATTCGTCTGAAATTATTCTGTATTTTCAGCTTCAGAATCATGAATGTTGTTATTCTGGTGTCTCCATTGTCCTGTGCTTTGGGTTTCCAGCACCAAGTCCAAGCCTATTCATTTACACCCATAATGTAATACCAAATTTTGCATTTTAATCAACAGTACATTTTTTGTTAATCTCTTACCATAAGTGTTGGAGTATCACAATAATATTGTATTATGAGTTTAGTACCGTAAATCGTGAATTGATAGTATTGATACACCCCTACTTTAGAGTAAAACTATTCCAGGTGTCCCCTATATTAAAACACTCACCGGAGGGTCTCTGGAAGCTGAGAGTCTTCCGTTGCCGCCTTCAGTTTCAGAAACGAATGAAAGAGCTCCACTTTACTGATTAAAGATCTACACATGGAGAAATATGAAACACAATACGCCTGAGCTCAGAGCTGGTTATTGTGGTGTGATGACACTGTCAACTTTCAACTGAATGCATACAGCACATCAATACATTATTCTTGAAATGTAAATTATTGGTTGTCCAAAGATCACCTTGCTTGCAACGTTCCCAAAGCTTTCTTCGTCACTCCTTGTTTGTATCCATTAGCAGTGACATCTAGAGGATGCTGGGACACTGCACACCAGCTGATGGCTGCAAGAATATTCATAATTCTGTTAAAGGAGTAGTTCACTTTAAAAAAAAACTTTTGCTGATAATTCACTCACCTCCATGTCATCCAAGATGTCCATGTCTTTCTTTCTTCAGTCGAAAAGAAATGAAGGTTTTTGATGAAAACATTCCAGGATTTTCTCCATATAATGGACTTCAGTGGGAACCAAATGGTTTAAGGTCCAAAAGACACTTTCAGTGCAAACTGCAAACTGTTCAGAGGGCTTTAAATGATTCCAGGCGATGAATAAGGGTCTTATCAAGTGAAACGATCACTCATTTAATAAAGAAATAACAAAGTTTAAGAACATCTTTTTTCGTGCCATTTGGTTCATTCAACGAACAAATTGACTCATTTTGATAAACGTGTTCGAACAGGAGAGTCACGAACGTGCATCACAGAACAGAGCAAGGCGAGCATTTGAGCTTATAAAACTTAAGCTTTGTTATTTTATTTTTTAATGAGCGATCGTTTCGCTTGATAAGACCCTTATTCATCATCTGGAATCGTTTAAAGCCCTTTGAACAGTTTGCACTGAAACTGTCTTTTGGACCTTGAACCGTTTGGTTACCATAAAGTGCATTATATGGAGAAAAATCCTGGAATGTTTTCATCAAAAACCTTAATTTATTTTCGACTGAAGAAAGAAAGACATGGACATCTTGGATGACATGGGGGTGAGTAAATTATCAGCAAAAGTTTTTTTTTTTAAATGAACTACTCCTTAAAGTCAGGGAAGCAGGAGAAAAGCCCAGATCATTAACCCCCAGCCTTACTATACAAAATCTGCAAAGAAAATGAATGAAACCAAATCATGACACACCAATGCTGGTTGAAATTTACATCCTGATAGCAATCACTAAGTTAAGTAGTCTAAATGTATTGAAGGGTTAGTTCACCGCAAAGTAACTACACACCCAGGGACTCAGGGATTGAAACTTGCCGACCCAGAAAAGTTATTAAAGACATCGTTAAAATAGTCCAAGTGACTACAGTGGCTCAACCTTAAGTTTATCAAGCGACGAGAATACTTTTTGTACGCTAAAACAGGGAGTAAATCATGGGCTAATTTTCATTTTTTGGGTGAACTATCCCTTTAACACAGCCTGCTCAACACAGTCCTAAGAATGATATTTGGTAGATCTGAAGGAAATGTCATGACCTTGTCTACAGCGAAAGTCATGCTGCGTAAAAAGCAAAAAAGAGCCATTATATGTCACTGTAGTTGTGAAATCTGACACTGTGGTCAGTAGTACGGGAGTGCCACAGGGGACCGTGCTCTCTCCTGTCCTCTTCACTTTGTACACAGCTGACTTTCAATACAACTTCGGGCTCTGCCATGTACAGAAATACTCAGATGATACTGCGATAGTTGGCTGTATAAAGGATGGACAGGAGGGGGAGTACAGGAGCCTGGTTGAGGACTTCGTGAGGTGGTGCAGGATCAACTATTTACAGCTGAGCCCCTCCAAGACAAAGGAGAAGGAAGAAACCACATCTACAGCCTGTGTCCATCGATGGGGTTGATGTGGAGGTGGTTAGGACTCACAAATATCTGGGGCTGCAAATGGATGACAAGCTGGACTGGACAGCAAATATGGACACCCTGATCAGGAAAGGGCAGAGTCGTATGTACTTCTTGAGAAGGCTGAGGTCTTTTAACATCTGTAATAAACTCCTGCTGATGTTCTACCAGTCTGTGGTGGCCAGCGTCCTCTTTTATGCTGTAGTTTGTTGGGGAGGAAACAGCAAGAAGATAGACGCCAGTCGACTGGACAGACTGGTAAGGAGAGCTGGCTCAGTAGTAGGCTCAGAGCTGGACTCTCTGGCAATAGTGGCAGAAAAAAGGACCCTGGACAAACTGCTGTCCATACTGGACAATGCCAACCACCCTATGTACAACACCTTCATCGGGCAGAGGAGTGTGTTCAGTGGTAGACTGCTGTCTCAGCCCAGCTCAAACCAACAGACTTAAAAACTCTTTTGTCCCACTGGCCATCAGACTGTATAACAGGGAGGATAATAGATAATTGGACAATTTTTCTACCCCAATCTGTACTTTTTGTACTTCTATCTGTATTTGTATGGTTTACCTACATCTGCACTCCATTAGCACTATTTACTGTCTTTGCACTGCTTACTGTGGCTACGGTTGTTATAGGGTAATTGTATTTTTAATTTTATTTTAATTTTTTAATGTATGTACATTTTTATGTATGTTTTGTTTTTGTACGTTACTGGATACCTGAATTTCCCTCGGGATAAATAAAGTATTAATCAATCAATCAATCAATCAATCAAATCTGCTTTGGGATTATGTACACTTAATACATTTAAGATTAATGTTTGAATCTAATGACCATGTAAACAGAGTGTGTCCATTGGCTTTATTTGCTTTTGATGTAGCATGCCACTCAGGATACACGCCCTGAAACTCAAATTCCAGCTGAATTAATTGCAAAAATGTGTGCAGTTACATAAAAAAAAAAAAAAAACATGAATTAATGAATATGCTTGTGTGCTCACCTGCCCCACAGGGAGATATTCTGCCCTGTGCGTGTGTGTGTTTGGACTCTGTATGTGTGTGATTGTGGGTAAATTCCAGACTGGCCTGCAGAAGCTCTGGAGCTTGTATGGAGAAACCTGATGGCAGACCCCTCACATGAGAACATCTGTAAGAGAAGATAAGTGAGTTGCAAACATTTTAATGGAACAATTTAAAATCAGCACAAATGTAATGTTGCGATAGTCTCTTCTTCCTTGTTGTGATGTAGCCTCTCACGGAGACTTCAGATGACCCAACACCTGCGATGAGACAACTCAACGCATGTGACGAGACAACTCAACGCCTGTGAAGATACGACTCAACGCCGGCGATATGTTATGCCCTAAATTAATACATGATTAACTAAATGTATTTTTCCATGTACATTTCTGAAATGCACTTTCTGTAAAGCTGCTTTGAAACAATATGTCTTGTGAAAAGCGCTATAAATAAATTTGAATTGAATTGAATGTATATCCAAATGTGGGGTGGGATTGGGACTTGATTTTGTCCTCGGGTTTTGATTGTATCGTAGGAAGTTAACTAAACGAAGGCAGATCTGAATGGCAGTTGTGGAGGATATTAAGCCCCGCCTCGACACACGTCATGAAAAACACCTTTTCGAGGGGGAGGGGAAGGTTAAAGATGCAATATGCAGTTTTCTGCAGCTAGAGGTCGCTAACCTCTTCAGAACAATAATAAAGGCGTAGATTGGTGATGCAGTGAACGAGAGGAATCATGGAACTTGTCGTCATGCCATTGGATCTGAAGCAGGTCGCGGTCGCTAATAAGAGACAGATATCAGCGCCACACGAGGGTCCCGCGGATATGAAGGAATGAGGACATTTCATTCTACCTAACTACCTGCGAGTGCTGAAACACACTACTCACACAGGTCAGTTTATTTGACTAATTAAAATTGTGAGAACGCAGCGCTGTTTAAATTGGTCCACACTTTCATACTGTTATGCTGGGTTCAAAACGACGCGGAATGGAAAATCACGCGCGGTCTGGCCTATTCTTCGCGGAGGCCGACAAGCGCTTCTGCTCAGTTGTTTATATTCAGAGCTATTTTTTTACATCATGGGTAATAACCTAAATACATCATGTTTCTATAACCAAGAAGTTTGTACACTTCTTGTATTAATCCGTTGTCGAGACACACACGCAGCCAGAGAGAGAATATGGTAGACAGTCATAGTAGTGTATATATACCGTTGAAATATGCATCCTCTCTTCAAATTTATGATATCTATTTTCCTCTCTCGTTGTTTCCCTGTTTGTTTGTGTGTTCGCATTTGTCACTTGCGGTATTTCAATTAGAAAATTGCTAAAATTTTGACAATTGACCAGATGGTCGAGTGTTTCTTGGTGTAACTGGAATTGCTGGAATTGACGCGGATCACTCGCGGGCAGCTCGCGAAAAACCAGACGCCGAAACTGGCGCTTCACGGCGCGGCTGGTGTGAACGACACCATAGGTTAACATAAGCCGCAAAAAGGAAACGGCCTCTGTTACGGAGTCGCTTCAGTATCCGATGTGAACCCAGTGTAAGCCCGACTCAATCGGCCCAATGGAGCTTTCCCAATAGAACGGGTGGAGGTCTCTGTGTGTTACTGTCTTTCCATGTGGCAAAATAATTTGATTAAATGAAATCATTTTTTTCATCTATTAACTCGTTATTTCATCTGACTCCATAAAGGAAAAAGGTACTGTAAATGTGAAAACAATTTATTATGTCAGGTAAATGTATCATGCCAATTCCATAATCATTTCAAAGATAATAAATACAAAACATCAAATGCTCTGGAATAGAGAGAGAAGGTGTGAACCTGACATACATGAAGAGACGTGCCAAAATCCACTCTGCATCACAGATTAAGGTGAGTTACAAATCACCCTGAGCCTCTTGTTGCAATTCATTACCCTGAGCAACATCTCTTTTCATGGAAACATTTGGCAACAATGGGAATTTGCATTCAGAAGTTACACCTTTAGAGAGCAGGAGGACATTTACCTGGAAGACACACCCTCCTCTGTGGGCGAGTTACCTCTTATTACCTTATGGTTTACTTCCTTTTAGTAACACTGCAAGTGTTTTTTGGATAGTTTAATACAAAAATCTTACATATTGTACCTTTAAGGATTTTGCTAAAAGATTATGAGTACAGTGATAGAAATGTTTTTGTTTTTTTTATGTAATGGGTATTTTTAACATTAAATGTACAGAGAAATGCAGACTAAGGATGCTCAGGTCAAAGGCCATATATACTTAACCAAAAAGTTCTTGTCACAGTACAACTAATACAAACCAATCACCAGAACAAATCACAGTGAAGAAGATTTGAGTGACATTGATTTTTACTCAACTGTATGATATAAATGTATCTTTCTATTCAGGAGACTCACTTGGTTGTTGTGGCCAGTGATCTCCCAGCCGTGAATACAATTAATTTCTACATAAAGCAACTTGGAAGTCATGTCAGGTATATGCTACACAGCTGAGTCAAGTCAAGCATATTTTTTATATAGCGCTTTTAACAATATAGATTGCATCAAAGCAGCTTCACAGTATCAATCAAACTATAATAACAATGTTCGTTTCTTAGTGGAAAAACATCCACGTTTGGTAGAGCTGATCAATGGTATTAATGATTGGTTAATTAAGAGTCAAGACACAGATAAGACACAGATTCTATGCTCAAAAGACAACAACAGAACATCTATGTGTGACTGAGTGTAGTTAATATATGTATAGTAGTCTTTTTACAGATATTTTAATAAAATAAAATGCATTAAAAATCATTGAAATTACCGTAAATATAACTGTATAAATACTTTAATATTTTATTTATTCAATTATTATTAATAAATAATATGTATTATTAAATAAAATATTTATATTTAGTGAATATTCATTTTGTGTTTTGTATTCATTTTGTGATGTGCATACAGTGGTTTGCATAATTCTCTGAAAGTTCTGTATGTAAAATACTTTTACTTCTTTTTATGCAAAGACATCAACTTAACTATTCATAAGATGATTCTCTTGAAAAATGTTCAACTCTGTGGTGCTTTAAAAAGATTGCTCTCTTTGTTTAAGCATTCTGACTAAAACAGTTACAAAACTACTAGTACATCTCATGCTAAGTAGTACTACATTACAGCAGTATACTGTAAATGTCTAATTTAAGTTGCTACATAAATATATATTTTTTTAAAGTAACAAAACATTAATTTTCAAATTTTAATTTTAATTTTATTATAAAAAATACATTTAAAAATGTATAAAACATTTTTTTTTAAATCAGCAGCATCAACATTATTTACAGAATTCTAAAGAACAACAGTTTAGTTCTTTAGAATTCTGAATTTTGTGACAGGCAGCGAGAAAAACAAAAATAACCTAGTTTCAATACAAGACCCTTCTTTTATGGAGCTCTAGCATGTGGAAAACTTACGCTATATGAATCAGAGGGTTTATAAGATCATTTCTGTTTTTTTTTTGGGTGTAACTCTTAATAAAAGTGAGCACTGGTTGAAATTGAAAATGAAATTGAACCGCAGAAAATGAAAAATGGAAAATGAGCTGTATGAACACCTGAACTAAGACAGAATTCCAGCTTAAGCATAACAGCATTCCAAAAACCACTATGAAATATGATCTCTGGTTAAGCTTCTATAGATGGCCTATATCCTGTATGTCTAGTAGGCTGAGACTTTAACTAAACACACACTTAAAGCTATTACAGCACAAGTGTTATTTGAGCAGTGTGGAGGAAACTCTATTTAAACATGTATTTTAAATTTGAAATGTTAGCCTATATTATGTGTAACATAATGCAAAGTAAACTTTGTCTTTGACTTCTAAAATACTGCTCCTTTATATTATCTGTAAATTCCCCAGTAGTTCCCTCAAGATTTTCCTAGGGGTTTTAATAATGAGGTTTTTACAATTATGTGTACAATAAGGCCTTTGATAAATTTAATGACAATTGGGTAAATTACAGTGTAAATTACACAAGCCCACATCAAAAACGCAAATTTTGAAGCTTATGTTTGTTTAAAACAAACATAATGCGTAACTCGATAAGAACGTTTGGGGTGTGAGTGTGTGCAGTTTATGTTGTAAAAAAAAAACGACCAAGTATTGCTCTCTTAGGTGCTCTGTTCACTCATGCCACTGCATGATCCTAAATGGACTTGCAGAGGAGGTATGGCAGGCACTCCCGCATTATGCCAGGCCAGAGTCAAAAAAATGGACAAAGCGTCTGTTGCGTCACCCATAGACTTTCCACTAATGGTTTTTGAGGCCGTTTATGGGGGGTATGGGCACCGTCATCTCTTGAAAATCTTAGGAAATCCTAACCCCTCCCACCTTCTGGCCAATCCAGGCTGGCTTTGTGTGAGACAGAGCCGGCCGGTGGATGCACCTCTTCAGCAAAAGACAAAAGACAAAAGACAACAGCTCATTTTTTGGATATTTTTACCTCAATTATTCCATATGGCACCTTTAAAGTTCATGGGGATAATTGTTGGATTGTATGTATTTAGTCATGTGAAAATAACCACTAACAACATATATTAGATCTCATTAAAACCACAAATTAAACACAATGTGATATTGTAGACTATTACACGTCACGCTCTTCGTGAGTGGTATTTATGACAGCAACGTTAAATTCAAGTACTCCACAGCGACTCTAGGGGTCGCTGTTTGACAAAAACGGGATTCCTTCATGGTGTCCCCTTAAAAACCATTCTAACGTACTACTCTTACCATTTCTGCAGTACAGTGAAAGTTAGTATTTTTACTGTTGGTTCAGTCATATATTATTGGCAGACTAGTCTACTTTTTACAATCTATGGCTACTATATTCACAGCAAAGCTGCTGGAGAACACTCAAATGTGGGACATATCAATCTATTCTTATGTTACATTTATTCATCAGTGTTTCAAACGATCAATCAATCGATCAATTCAATCGATTGCTGGACATCGGTATATTATTGTACATAGGTACATCTGATTTATGATTTAGCAGTGTATTAGCCCCCAAAACACCACCTGTCCCTACCTCGGACGCTACCTTATCTGAGGTGATTTAATGCTAACTGTTGCAGTGCCACTGCCCATAAACATTGATGCTAAATAGTGCGTTAAATAGTAGAGGAATGTCACTTACGGAACACAGAAAAAAAAAAGTAACACTTTATTTTGCGACCCGCAAACAACTCTGTAAGTACACCGAAATTAGGGTGTACGTTTCTGTAATTATAGTGTACTTCTGTCTAGGTATAAGGGTTTTGGGTAATAAAGGGGTAATAAGCAGATATACAACCGGCAAATAACTTCTCAATTAACCGAAATTACGGTGTACGTTTCTGTAATTATAGTGTACCTCCGTGTAGGTATAAAGGAACAATATGTTAAGTTTTGGGTAATAAAGGGGTAACAAGCATACAAGCAAATTATTTATAATGTAATTATTTTAAAACTAACAGGTAACTATTCTGTTAATATATTCCAGGCAAAAATTGGGTCCCACTTTATATTAAGTGGCTTTAAGTACTATGTACTTACATTGAACAATAAGTACATGGTATTATTGTGTTCCTGTTGTATTATAAAACACTTTTGCTGCTATTGAGGTGTGATACGGGTAAGGTTAGGGACAGGTGTGGTGGTATGGGTCGGTTTAAGGGTAGGTTAAGGTGTGAGGGGAGGGTCAACTGTGTAATTACAAATGTAGTTACATAAATTAATTATTGCTGTAATTACATGCTGGAATTTTATAAATGTAAGTACAATGTAAAAACATGTATGTACACAATAAGTCCATTGTATCAAATTATTAATTTCAATGTAAGTACATAGTACTTAAAGCCACTTAATATAAAGTGGGACCAAAAATTGTATGTCTGTTGTATATAAAAGTTATCATCACATTTCTGGCAAAATATGTTCTTGTGAAATTTTACAGGGTAATTTTGACATCTGTGGGTTGAAAATGAAATGTATGTTCATCAATGTTGTCATATGCTCCAGTCCGTATGTTCTCTTCCTGTGTTTAGTTCCTGTTTGCTTTGTCTCCGTAGTTACTAGGGTTGGGTATCGAGAATCGAGTATCGATTGGAACCGAGACTAACTTTTCGTTTTTCCCGGAATCGTTCAAAAGTTAACGTTTCGATTCCTAGTTTTGATATTCACAGTCCGCCGAGCGGAAGAAGAAACCGCTGAACAACACCAACGAAGAAGCGTCTGCCGGAAGTGTTGGTATAACCACGCGAGTCGAACATGAGTACCTTACGTCGGCGATCCAAAGTGTGGCTTCACTTTTCTAAAAATAACGAAATCTCGGCAAAATGCAAAATTTGTGACAAAAGGAGTATTTTTACAGAAGGAGTATTTCCTTCAGAAAGGCCGTTGGTTAGCAAGGTTAGCTAAATTTTTTTGACCCTGCCTCTTAAAAGAATCGGAATCGAGAATCGTTAGGAACCGGAATCGAAACAAGGAATCGGAATCAGAATCGTTCAAATTCAAACGATACCCAACCCAAGTAGTTACCCTTATTACTTTCCATAGTAATTCATCATCTACGCTAGTTCATCTTTAGCCCTTGGGTTCCCCGTGTATTTATAGCCCTGTTTCTTTTGTATTTTGTCAGGCATTGTTCTTGAAAGTCTCTCTTTGTAAGCTGTCTGTTTCCCATTTTTTAATAAAATGTTGATGCACTTGGATTCTCAACTCTCCTTATCCCTGGTTATAATATAACACCATTATAACATATTATATAATATAACATCCGTGTGAAGACTATGCGCGTCACAACAGAACACTGTATCCGTGCCACTGATCGCAGCGGCAACGAGCACTTTGGTCACTTGATTTCAAAAACAACACTCAAAAACAGCCACCATTAAACACAAAAGAAGTCATATAACAATTTCAATAACTCTGAAGCTGTTCAGTTAAGTTAAAAAAACTGCCCTTTAATCCCTTTAAACAAAGCAACACTTACCGTGTTTTCAGTGCTCTATGCATTGCCTGATGGTTGTATGGACCCATTCCAACCACCACAGCACTGAAATAGATCGGTCCTTGCAGGTAATGAGACAGCAGGGCACCCTGGAAGCCTAGAACGGCCCAGCGTGCAAGTTTATCACTGCACGAGAGAGAAAGTGTGCGTTCCCCACGGCCTGGCTTAACCCTCAAAACCCCAACTTTGTGATAGAGTAATCCAGGCTTGAGAGGATCCGTTGGGCCATCAGGGACACACTTTGCTCCAGTGCGATGGAGGTCTGGCAGGTAGACTTTCTTTACATCCGGTTGATCGTTTGAGACTTCATTTAATTGATTATGCTCTTTGTTTTCTATTATAACTTCCTCCTCATCGGCATCCCCTGATTTTCTGAATGATGAATGGTTGTCACTTGTCTTCATTCCAGGGCCATGTCTGGTCTCCTCTAATTCACTCTCAGCATGTCGCTTTAGGCCTCGTCTCTCTGATTCTTCGTTCTTCACTGCCTTTACTGGCTCACAGGGCTGTGCTTGACATCCAGTCATAGGGAATATGGAGGCATCACCACCTGAGGATACATTAGCAAAGGACTGACTGACAAGATACACACACATATTGTATGCATTTACAAACATTTGTGAAAAAATGGCTTGTCCAAAAGAGCTCAGTTAATTTAAAGCCCGGAACACACCAAGCCGACGGTCGTTCGTCGGGCGGTTTTTGTGCGTCAGCCGACTAAGTTTCCTCGGTGTGTTCTGGACGGTTCCGTGCCGTCTGCTTTACATAGTCCTTGTCGGCTTTGTTTCGCCCGATTCGACATGTTGAATCGGCATTGGGCCGTCGGGGAAAGAGAGAACTCTGATTGGCTGTTCAGTCAGTGCAAGAGAATAAAAGCAAAACAGCAAGCAAAGAAGTCAAAACGGTAAAGATAGAAGGCTGTTCTTATGTTACGTCTTCTTACCTGAGTGTTCCTTGGCGAATATTTCAATATTAAAGGGTTAGTTCACCCAAAAATGAAAAAATTCTGTCAGTATTTCCTCACCCTCATGTTGTTCCAACCCCGTAAGACCTTCGTTCATCTTCGGAACACAAATTAAGATATTTAAGATATTAAGATCGCTCCTGCATACAGTCCATAGGCTTCTTGAGGGACTGGCTCTTGCTGTCCTCAAAAAGTCATTAAAGACATCGTTAAAATAGTCCAAGTGACTACAGGGGCTCAATCTTAAGTTTATCAAACGACGAGAACACTTTTGTGCGCAAAAAAACAACAAAAATAACGACTTTATTTCAACTATTCGTTTATTTCTCCCTCTGCGCGAGTCAGGTTACTAGTTTAATAGCGTAAGCTTCTGTTATTGTACGTCACACGCATCACACACACATGACCAGCGTCGGCCAATAGTGAGCCTACGTGTGACGTAGCTCTACGCAATCACACTACGTTAACTGACTTACAGGCTCATGGAGAAGGAAGTGAATAGTTGAAATAAAGTCGTTATTTTTGTTGTTTTTTTGCGCACAAAAGTGTTCTCGTCGTTTGATAAACTTAAGATTGAGCCCCTGTAGTCACTTGGACTATTTTAACGATGTCTTTAATGACTTTTCGGGGACAGCAAGAGCCAGTCCCTCAAGAAGCCTATGGACTGTATGCAGGAGTGATCTTAATATCTTAAATATCTTGATTTGTGTTCCGAAGATGAACGAAGGTCTTACGGGGTTGAAACAACATGAGGGTGAGTAAATACTGACAGAATTTTCATTTTTGGGTGAACTAACCCTTTAACATGAGCGGAGTGGGGAAAAAAAAGTGTTTAGCAGGATTCATATTCAAAACGGTAAGCACGCGCTGCTTTGTTTACGGTAAGTGCATCTGCAGCCGGCAGCGTCGATTTTCCTTTTTGAATGACGAATATAGACTAATATTTCTGCCGAAATAGACAGTTGGCTCATTACACGCAAGTGCAGAACGCACATTATAGCTGACAGTCGGCCGCAGTTCTCTCTGTGTGTTCAAGTGCAGCTTTTTACCCCGACAAGAGAGGACGAGAGGAGACAACACAGTCGGCTTTCATCAGCGCTAGTTCGTCAGCGTCAGCTTGGTGTGTCCGGCAGGCTTGTGCACAATTCAGAATTGAATTGAGAATGACTACTAAATTCCAATTCAATTCTTGAATTTGAATTGATGTCAAAAACAGGATCTAGAATTACAATTCGAATTTGAATTAAACGAAGCAGAATTACAATTCAATAAAAATTCTAAGAAATTCATATAGATATATTTTAAGTGAAGTGTTGAACAATGTAGCTTCACAATATACAGTATGTCAGATATGATTGCATATTATATAAATTATATTAGTTTGAACTACCAGGAAATGTTTTCCCCCAGCAATAAATGTTAAAATCTCAAGTCACAGAACAAATAATAAGTTTGATCTATTGTAATTGTAAGGCCATTTCCCAGAATTACTTTAGTAAATCTTTAGGGGGAATTTCAAATTAAAAGGAAATTGCTTTACATTGATAAAGTAATCCAAATAAATTAATGGGTTAACTTACAACAGTGAGCAATTACACTTCCAAAGTAACCTTCCTAACCCTGACTGTAGGCTAGTTGTAACACACTTGTTTTAAATACTTCCACACGCTAGCATGACGAAACTTGATGCATTTACTACTTACCATTTCAACACTATACAGAGAAATATTTGTGCCAAAATTCAGAGATCTTTGTAAGATATCACTGAACATTTAACCAAAGCAAAAGTACATTTCCTACTTAAGTTAATTTTTCATCTCTATTTTTTGTGTTTATTAAAATTAGACTAATCTGATATTTTTTAATCTCTAATCTGTAGTTTAACAGTTGATATAATTTCAAATTTCAGATTATATAATTGATATAATCTTTTAATGCTTCACTAACTAGCAGAAGACACTAGCAGGGTTTAAACCCCAGTTGTGCAGTTGGGGCATGTTGTCACACTGAGTTCCATTGTGCCCCTATTAGAAATATGCTATTATATTCTATAATTTTTGAATTCTATTGAGAAAACATGAGAAACATGTAAATAAAGACTGAAAGTCAATGTTCAGAAATGATGAATTATTATTTTGTTTTGAACTATGCTGTATAGTTGCGTTTTCCTGTGTGTTTGTTGTCAAAATCAAAAATTAGATTATTTTTAATTATTAAAAAATACCATTATTTTATATGAAAAAGTTAATAATTTTGGTTTGACTTGTATATTTTTTTGATTAGGTGAGATAGCATTTTAAGCTGTTATATGGTGATGTTACAATGTGCCCCACCTATGGGGCATGTTGTCACATTTAACATTTATTTCAGGGTAAATCAAGAAAAAAGTATACACTGTATTAATAAAACAAAACCACATAATTGTACTAGACATGTGGGAAATAAATGTGGAAAAAAATAAATACTATAAATAGATTTGCACAAACTGAGAAAGTCAAAAAGCGTTATGTTGTGCCCCACTTTCCCCTATGTGAGATTCAACACATTCTTTCTGTTGTGTGACTAGGGTTGGGTATCGTTTGAATTTGAACGATTCTGATTCCAATTCCGATTCCTTGTTTCGATTCCGGTTCCAAACGATTCTCGATTCCGATTCTTTTAAGAGGCAGGGTCAAAAAAGTTTAGCTAACCTTCCTAACCAACGGTCTTTCTGAAGGAAATAATCCTTTCTGAAGGAAATACTCCTTTTGTCACAAATTTTGCATTTTGCCGAGATTTTGTCATTTTTAGAAAAGTGAAGCCACACTTTGGACCGCCGACGTAAGCTACTCATGTTCGACTCACGCGGTTATGCCAACACTTCCGGTAGACGCTTCTTCGTTGGTGTTGTTCAGCGGTTTCTTCTTCCGCTCGGCGGACTGTGAATATCGAAACTAGGAATCGAAATTTTAACTTTTGAACGATTCCGGGAAAAACGAAAAGTTAGTCCCGGTTCCAATTGATACTCGATTCTCGATACCCAACCCTATGTGTGACTGTGTGGAATTTCTTTGAATTGCCATTAATTTAATTCCACTTCCTGTCATTCCAATTCAAATTCAAATTCAACTTCTTGGAGGGCGGAGTCAATTCAATTCAAATTCCAATTCATGAATTGAATGGAGGCCAATTCTGAAATTCTGAATTTTGCACAAGCCTGGTGTCCGGGCTTGATAGGAAGTCAGTTTGTGAAATTTTCTCCCTGCTAGATATTCCACGGTCAACTGTAAGTGATTTTTTTAAACGTTTAGAAACAGCAACAACTCAAATGGGTCACAGAACATCAAATGGGTTTCCATGGTTGATCAGCTGCATGAAAGCCTCACATCAACAAGTTCAAGTGTCGGATGGAGTGTGAAAAGCACATCACCACTGCACTCAGTGGAAACGTCGAATCATGCTTCTCTGTTTGGCAGTCTGAATGGTCTAGATTTTGGCAGATTCCAGGAGATGATTACCTGCCTGACTGCATTGTGCCAAATGTAAATTTTGGTGGAGGAGGGATTATGGAGTGGTGTTTGGAGTGGAAGAAACCTGATTGGCCCACACAGAGCCCTGTTGAACCAGATGAACTGGAACAGAGATTGTGAGCCAGGCCTTCTCGTCATACAGACATGGGCAGTTAAATTTCAATTAAATGCATTTTAAATACATATTTAATTACTTTAGTGTATTTTGTAATTTGTATATTGCAGGTGTGGAAAAAATAAAATGTAGTTTGTAACAAAATATTTGGACGGAGTGTATTTGAGTATTTCAAATACTTAAATACTTAAGAAAAATCACCATAGTAATGTCATGGTTCTGCCCTCGTGTCCTTGATTTTCTCTAGGCTTGAGGCAGGATCATGACAGACCCATGTTTTGTGTGCAAACACATGGCCTTTTTTTTGGGCCATGTGCTTGTGTTGTCTCGTTACGTACCCCGCCCCCTTGTTATCCTCGTCTTGTCATTGTCCAGACAGCTTCACCTGTTCTTGTCATTAGTGTCTCCCTATAGACGAATCCGGCGAAACTACCGGAAGTAAGCGGGCGCCATTACTGAGCTGTTGCTGGGTAGCGTTGCGCCATTGCATCCTATTGTTTAAGTTGCAACTAGCGTCCACTGGAATAAACAGCCCGCGATTTACGACTGTCACTAACGTTACAACGTTATCCCTTGTATAATGTCAAGTGGGTAAACAGTTTCCGTTATAAATTGTTTCAATGGTGGCAGTAAAATTTCAATTTTGAAGAGAAAACACTGTGAATACCCCGGGTCGACTGCCCCTGTCTGGTGCCGTACGGTTTACACAGATTTCCTGGGCGAGTACAAGACGCGGACATTCGCGTATAATAACAATTATTTAATGACATAAGTAAAAAAATATAATAAATGTGTGATATAGTGATCAGCAAAATCTCCTCTCTTGTTATTTTTTCTATTCAATTTACATGCTATGGTCATTAAATGGCTTTCCTGAGCTAAATGTAACGTTATGTGACATAATTGTTCTCCCGCTGTTATATTGACCTCTTTCCATGGTTTAAAAACAGTAGTTGGTCGAT